GTTGGCAAAGAGGCAAGGAAACTCCACCATTGTAAACATGCAGAGACATACACTCCTCAGTAGACCAGAAGTCTGCACACAATGGGTCTGTTAACATATCACAAATTCAATGTGAATGCTACTTCATTAATCAGCAAGAAGAATCAACGTACTACTGCCTCTGATCCCCAAAGAAGACTGAAAAATCCTAATAATTTAGAAAAGAACAACAAAAAATATTCAAATTACTTCTTTTTACCATTTATAAACACCACCACTTACAATGACCTTTGCTCCCCTCGAAGATTTTACCTAACCCACCTTAAAAGTGAGATGTATACAGAGCTCCTCTGCTGCAGCCAAGGCTTGCCTTAAATTTGAAGAGCATTACTTATGATTATTTATGGGCCATGCCTAATGAACTACACTCCTAACTAAAAGCTCACATTATCTAAGAATACTAGAAGGTATACTTTGATAAAACATACGGTGGCATAGAATCCTTGTTGGCCAGAAGCAGAATACAAATTGAAGCTTACTAGAAGGCTATTGCCTCACATGGGAAAACATGGGTCAAAGGAAAGCTTCATGGAAATAATAAAAAGAACTTTGCCTTCCTGGAGGTTAAAAGAAGCAAAGTATAGGGAATAAAAAACCTTTCCAAAACGCAAACCCCTTACCTCTCTTTGAAACCAGATTTTTATTAGAATTTGGTGAAATCTGAATCTGTAGGTATGATAGACTGCTGTGGTAATTGGTTCTTCAATCTGAATTTGTAACTTCTTTCATTTAGATGCAAATTCTATCTCCCACTTCTTGAACTGCATGACATTATGACTTTGCTTAAACAATAAAATGAGGGTTAAGCTTTAGCTTTCAACACTTGGAAATCTATTCATGGTCACCAAGTGCAGCAGCCTTATCTTGCCAACAGAACAGATGGGGAAACCTACCCGAGGTTACCTGGCCCAACTACAGAGTCAGATACGCCTAGCTTAACCATCCAGCTTCAACAGAGCTATAAAATGACTGAAGCTGTGGAATGAGCCACAGAATTTCAAAACACTAATATGTAAGTTCCGGGATGGTTTGTTAAGCAACAATACACATCTAATAAGAAGGCCACCAACTAGAAGCTGCAAACTAGTCATCCTATTGAACATCCATTATGTATGGAGCACAAGCCAAGTACTCTACAATAAATATGAATGGAGATAAATAAGAGAAAACATGGGTGGTCTGTTTTGTCTGCTCTTTAATTTTTATTTTCTATTCGTGTGCGTACAAAATCTGTATACCTTGTGTTTCACACTATCTTTCATTCACATTGTTTCATACAATCATTCCCATTCACTGTGTTACATAAAATTAATCACCATTGAACTATGCCTACCTTTACTTATCCTTCTGTTTTTACAATAATGGTCTTATACGGTATATGTTCTTATGTGCCTGAGTTAGTTCACTCAGCATAAAGCTCTTTTATCTCTCTGATACAGTATTAATAGTATTTTTCAAAATTATTGCGCCTGAGTGCTGCACACTATTCCATCATGTGAATGTATCACGATTTCTCAATCCAGTCATTTACTGATTGGTATTTGGACTGTTCCCATGTTCTTGCTATTATGACTAATGCTGCTATGAATACTGGTGTATAAAAATGTGGACAGTCCTGATGTTCATCTATAAACTTTTATCTCTACATTAAACAATATGTACTATTTACCAGTTTTGAATGTGTCTAATCTATGTAACCATCTTTGGGCTTGGAGCTGACCTTCTGGCAGATTTTCAGAGGTAGTAAATTGCACAGGAGGAGAATGCCCATCTTTCTCCAGTAGAACAGCTGGTAGATTTGAACCATATGCTTTTAGGCTGACAGCATAGCTGTCTATACATATACATACATACATATATAAAATGAGGTTTCACTAAGTTATATCCACACACGCCTAACCCCCTGTACTCACATAAAACATGCTGCTTGTGTTTTTGCTTTCCATAAATAAACGAAGCTTTCCTTGACTACACAGTGATCATCACAACCAGGGCATTGCTCATCTGTACTGTACTGTACTGTACTGTACTGTACTGTACTGACAGACAGTCTTTCCAGCAAAGCTATGAACATTTTTCTGACAAGGCATATGTCCTTATCAGTATGAAGTTACATTAGACAATACAGCATAATAACATTACGGCATAACTTTTTTTTTTGAGAGCACAAACTCTGGAGCTGGTTTGCCAAGACTCAAATGCAAGTTCTGCCACTTACAAGTTGTACAACTTTTAACAAATTACTGACAATCTCTGCATTTCCCTTTCTTCACTATAAAATTGAGAAAATAATATTGCTTTTCTCATAGGGATGCAGTGAGAATTTAATGAGTTAATGCATTAAAAAACGCTTAGAAGAACGCACGGTACAAAGTAAATGCTCAATAAGTAATAGTCTTCTTTAAACTATTCATTAAGTGTGGCTAGGACAAATAGGTGAAGTGCTCAAGGTCGCGCTGAGCTGTTGGTTCGAACTCATCAGAGGTGGCACCTTGGAAGGCAAGGCTGACGATCTATTTCCAAAAATCCTTTGAGCAGTTCTACTCCGCACACATGAAGTTGCCAAAAGTTGCAGCTGACTCCCTGGCATCTAGCAGAAACAACCACAAGCATCGGCACCGCTGCCTCTCTATCCACAATGCTCAACAGACTAAATATGTAACAGATGCACTTGAGAATGAGTGTAAGTTATACAGAAAACATATTCTTTGACTTGTTAAATCTCAGAATGGAACGTTTTAAATGTTTCCAGAAGGATATGGCAACTTCAAAGCAAGGTGTCTCTTTGACACTTGGACAGTTGGTCTGATACTGGCAAAATATGTAAACAATAAAGAAGTGTGAAATATAATAAACATCTTCAAATTCTGCTTTTATAATCTCATTGTTATGGAGAACGTAAAAAATGATTTTCAGAGGGATATGAATATTAGGGCTATTTCCTTAAATATGTTAATTTTCACTAGAATCTCTCTTCTTGTAGAAATCATAAAGGTTCATCGCATATCCACACACATCATGTAGACTTCCTATAAGATGTAAACCCACAAATCTATCTCTTCAAGCACTGCTACTGCTTGAAGAATCAGTGTAACTCATGCTGCAAAGAAATCAGAGATCACTCAACCACCACTCTTACCTCATGAATCAGGCCACTGGGCCCAAAGAGGGTCAGTGTCATCAACAAAACCCATCTCTGATCTGTGACAGATTTCCTTTCTCTTGACTTTGCCTTTTCATGGCCCCAGTTTAAGGAATGATTTCCATACAACTTTTGGGTACATGTACTGAAGGAAGTAGGAAAGTCACATCATTACTATCTGACTGAGGTATGATGCACCGTGGGCCTTCCACAAATGCTTGTAGCATGAGTTTGAAAAAAAGGATAGATGAATGGAAGCCAGCCTGTTGGCTGTCTATTCCTCGGGTTCCAAACTGTCACTCAGGCCATACTGAACGCTGCCAGCAATCTGAGGCTGGTGAGAACCAGTCAAATAGAGCACTCGGGGAAAAGTAACACAAAGCCATTTGTTAAAATTCTTTCTTTCCCCTGTATTTATAAAAATAATTTAATCACACTATCAAATTTGGAGTAATAAAAACAAAGTTAATTATAATGGCATTATTATTAAGCCAATTTTTTCTAGTGCTATATCAAGTATATGGTATTTATTTGACATGTGTTAGTTCATTTAATATTCATAGCAACCTTAGATGATAGGCAAAATACTATTATTGTCACTATTTAATAGATAAAGAGAACTAAGGAACAGAGATATTGAGTAACTTACCTAAAGTGATATAAACCACTCGAACTTCACTGCCAACGTGTGCAGTTGGTAATAGACTCATGTGAAGAACTCAGAAAGTGAAGTTCTGAACGTGCCCTTCACTTTTGATTTTCCAACCCAAGTCACCATTTAATAGTTTGTCTTCTAAAAACATTCTTGGACATTTTCTATTCAACTCTGTTATCTGCATAGCAAATAAGCAAAGCTGTTGTTGTTGTTAGATGTTATGGAGTCAACTACTACCCAGAATGACACTAACAGCAGATCTATCGTGAGAGCTCCTCATCAGCTCTGATGTGCTCATGGTAGCTGGACGATATGAAGAGGAATAAGCATCAGAAATAGAGGAGGTCTCAAAGGCAGAACAGCTTTTTCTTGGTATATTACATCAATTTTGATAATTACATAATTAGATGTGGAGCTAAAGTGTCTCTCAACTTAATTTTTGTTTTATTGTTTACTTATGGCTAAATACTATAGGACTAGGTTGCAGTCTTCCTATTTCGTAGATGAGGTTCTTAAAGATATGACTCTTGGCTTTTTCAAAGATAAACCTGGAATTTTAGCAGATCATCAGGACTATAGCCAAAACGCAGACTTTCATTGCTTTAACATTAGACTTCGCTTTCACAAGAAAAGTCCCGCGGTGTTTCGCAGCAGTCATTTTGAAACTTCTATATTAGCACACACACCAAAGGCTAAAGCTAAAAGAGGAAAATCCAAATAAACAAAAAACTTCCAAAGGAAATGCTATGCTATGTATCAACAGAAAGAAAGAACAATGAACACACTTACCATTCTGTAATTATGTTAAGTCTCAATTTAAATAAGCACTTATGCTGTGGTTGGAGGTATGACCTAGCCCCTGCGTTGGAATGTTTGAAGGATACAGTTCAAACACAGAATGTTTACCCATGGACATAAGTGGCCTTAATCAAAGCAGAAACATTTTTTTCAAATGTTGATTTTAAAAACAGGAGTGTAAATAAGACTGTGATTTATACATCTGCTAATGCCTTTCTCTGCTGTAGACATCAGAAAGATCAAGTCTTTGGCTGAGGTAAATATAACAAGAACGCAGACTTGTTAAAAAAGCAATTGGTGCCTCTATTAAAACGCCACTTCCATTAAGAGTTACAAATTGTTTTTCCTCTTTCCAGGTCTTAAAGAATGCGTTCCAAAAGCAGTGACACAGAAGACTCACACCAAAAGCAATTTGAAAGACAAAGTAAAGAACACAGTTTCCAAGGTCCTGCCAACATGAAACAGAGGCAGCAAAGTAAAGGCCTAGTCAGTGAGCTGGATGCAATCCTTCCATGTTCCAAGTCGGAGAAGCCACACAGAGACAATTGCCCCCAAAGAGAAGACCTCTCGAGAGATGACCTATTATTCCTCCTCAGCATTCTGGAAGGGGAATTGCAGGTCAGCTAGGCTGGAGCTGTTCTCATCCTGCTTCAAAGGAAAAGCTGATTGTGAATCTGGCGTGCATGCTGCCACAGAACTAGATGTCTGTGGTCCGTACTTGTGTGTACATGAACGCCAAGCGAATGTACATATACACAGAGTTCTCTTCTGCCAACTCAAAAGGCAATTAATCACATTTAAAAGGGCTGTCGTTATGACATGGGAATGGAATGCATGTTGTGAAAGGTCACATCCTCTGCCCATGCTGCTCATGAGCTTCAGTGTACAGGCACGTGTATCAATAACAGTAATTCCAGATGACTTCTGGATTGGTTTAAATAACAATAGGTGCTTTTATACCTCATGTGAACCGGCTCCCCGTCTTGCTCTCTTATTATTAATCTACATAAAAACAGCTGCTAAAATGAAGAACCTTATATCCTAACCTTGAAAACACAAATATCAATCCATTGAGGGGATATCATGTTATCTGCTTGCCCCCCCCCCACACACACCCGACTCTAAATGCTATGCCTTCTACTGTTTAACACTAATTACTTTTAAAAAATGTGATAAAATGGAATTAGGTTTTGAAGAAGGATGAAAGGGCATGAGTTTTGATACCTTTTATAAGAATGCACTATGATCAAGCATGATTTGCTTCTATTTGAAAGAGTGAAAACGCGGATGTTACTTGCTGAGACTGCTGGTGGACAAAACAGGCTTTTTTCAAATATCTTCTGTTCCTACAGGCTCGAGATGAAGTCATAGGCATTTTAAAGGCTGAAAAAATGGACTTGGCTTTGCTAGAAGCTCAGTATGGGTTTGTTACTCCAAAAAAGGTGCTAGAAGCTCTCCAGCGAGATGCTTTTCAAGCAAAATCTGCCCCTTGGCAGGAGGACATCTATGAAAAACCAATGCATGAGGTACGTAGTCAAGGCTGTGTGATTCAGAGGGGAAGCTCAAATACTAGGCCTGGCAAGGGAGCACGAGCCCATTACTTCTTTTTCATTCTTTACCACTTTACATTTTAAAACTATCCAAAGTAGAAATCAGATAATGCTAGACCGCAAGAAATTTGATTAAACTTGATTAAATTCTACATGTTCTACAAAGAAAAGGAAAATCAAGCACAAGTTCCACCAGGTCAAATGCAAGAGAATTTCCTTTACTTCCCTTCCCCTTACTCTTTCTTCCCCTAAACAATGTCCCCAGTACACACACACACACACAAACAAACATACATATACACAGAGTCACTAAAATGACTCTGATTCATGCCAACTTCTTGTGTATCAGAGTAGAACTCTACGACCGAGGGTTTTTCAATGTCTGATTTTTCAGAAGTAGATTGCCAGGCACCAGGCTTTTCTTCTGAGGCACCTTTGGGTGCATTCAAATCTCTACCCTTTGGATCACCAGAATTAACTACTTGCAACAGTCCTACACATGCCAACACACACAAATGGGAGAAAACCCCTATACGTGCAAATGCAGTCAACTGTTAGGGAGATTTTGCAGTCTCTCCGACGATATAATAAAAAAATAGCTAAGTTCAAATACGGAGGTTAATGTCTTTGAAAATGCTGACGTATTAAAGTCATAGACGTTTTGAGCAAGAATGGAAATGGTCTGAAGAACCAGCCAAGAAATAGAGTTCTTAGAAACTCATTTAGATGACTGTGGACCTTATTTTCCTTAACTATTAACAGCAGCAAAGCCTTTGCCCCCACCAGATGTTCCAGCAATAGCAATGACAAAGGTGAGCGGTCTCCATGTGGCCACCTCTGCAGAGGAATGTGGGACCACTTGCTCTTTCACTTGCTGACATTTCTGTAACTTGCCGGCACCCTTATTTTATTCCTCTATTTTCCTCTGAGAGCTGAATGGAAAATTTCATAATTTCACTTTTATAAAAAAGGAAACATCTAGGAGTATGAGTTAAGGCTGGAGAGAGTGCAAGCGGTTTTGGATGATTTCCGCCCTCAACTCTGGCAGCCTACCTCTATATTGACCTCTTACGTCCTTGCTATTCTCGTCTTGGGTGCCTCCAGAGAGGAGACTACCATCTTGCCAAACTGTGAGGGATTTTGGTCATGTGGATGCTTCTCTGGAGAGTGATGCTGAGACCACCCAACGTCTGCTGACTTGTGTTTTAATTAAAATTGTAAACAAGGAGCTGAAGCTGTATTTGAGTTAATAGGGTTAAAACTTCATCCTTGCTCTAAGCATACTGACTGTGAAACTGTTTCAGGCACAAGTCTCCCAACTACTGTTGGAGTTAAATGCAAATTAATGACTAGGGACCACTCAGAGGTGTTCGGGAGGCACAGTGGGTAAAACATTCAGTTACCAGCCAAAAGACTTGCAGCTCAAACTGACCAGCAGCTCTGAGGGAGAAAGAGTGAACAGTCTGCTTCCATTAAGATTTATAGCTTTGGAAACCTTATAGACAGTCCCACTCAGACTATGACTCAGAACAGACACAAAGGCAGTGAGTCTGGATTTGTTTTTTTGTTGGTTTTTCTGAACAAACTCATGATAAAACTATGAGTTTGAGTGTGAAATAAATGAGAACAATTCCAACCTTACGCTGAAATCCATTACAAAATAATTATATGCAAAATCGGAAATAGCCTAACTCTAGTGATGACTGGAATATCAACTCTGCAAAGAGAACAAGATCTAGAAGGAGGTAAGTGCAGATCAAAGAAGTACATATACAAGTAGTTATGAACATAGAGGGATACAGGTTAGTGGAAAAGTGTGAAGAGTATTTAGGTTAATGGGCCATTTTGTGTGTCACATAAGTGATACAAACGAAAAAAGGTCTAGGTTTAAGACTCAGAGAAAATAATTAATACAATAGCTTCTTTGAGGGAAGTAAAAGAAAGTTGACCATGAAAGAAAAGACAAGAAAAGTCAAGCTAAATCTGGAAGGTCTAGTTAAAACTGGAAATCACTCAAAAATTATACCAAGATAGAGGGTCAAAGGAGCATTGTGAGGAGTGACCTGAAGCTAAGGAAATAATCCGAAAGAGGTTGAGGGAATAGAATCATCATTCAGAGTCAGGATCTAATGAAAAAGAAGGTCTTTTCGATCAGGGAATGGCAGTGAGAGTCATGAAAACTTAGCCCTCATTTCCAGAATCAGAGACAATGAGAACAAGCAGCCTCTGTGTCAGGATTCTTGTGTTATCAAGCACAGCCAGGTTTGAAGACTGAGGAAGAATGAAGAAGAGGACAAATAGTGATTTATAAATAGCATAGTTTGTTTGCTATGTTTGTTCTCTTAAAAAAGTCAACCAATTTCTCTCTTCTCAGGGTTAGCTTTGTCCAGATTTGTTCATGAAAAATCAAAGAAAAGAGGGACAACATACTACACAGACTTAATGGCAGGAACAAAGAGAAACATAGGAGTAAAGTGAAGATCAAATGCAAAATCAAGGTGGCTTCTGAGTCAGTGGATTTTGAAACAAAAAATTGCAACTCTTTTCTAAATAAATATTAACAGAGAGTAAAAAAAAAAAAAAAAAGGAAAATCTGTCTGCTTTCATCTTTTATGACCATAAACTCTGGTGACCCAGTGGCTAAAGATGAAAACCTGTCCGTTTTCACCTTCTGTGACCAAGAGCTCTGGTGGCCTAGCGGCAAGAAGCTGCACTGCAATCCCAAAGGCATGTGGTTTGAGCCTACCAGCTGCTCCATGGGAAAACGATGGGCAATCTCCTCCTGGGCAATAAATAGCCTCTGAAAACCCGCTGTGGGTTTTGTGGTCAGCTTCGGGTCAGTTCTGACTCTACAGTACACAACAACATGACCATGAAAGGATTGCCAGGAATCCAACCTAACAGAGCACGGTGTGCTTCCATCATTCTAAACAAGGAGTTGGGTAGGACATGGTATCAGGGAGGTTAAATTTGTAAATAAGAAGCTTTCATTGCCCAGAAAATACTAGGGAGCCATTTTTTCTTTTCCCTGATACCTCCTGATGACACAGCTTCCTAGTTTGTTAAATCTACGAAGGGAAACATTTCAAAGGGGAGTTATGATGATATTCCCCGTACTTAACAACATACGACATTATGCTGCTCCCACACTGTTTCATGTATGCTTATCTTATCTTCATAGTAAGTATGAGCACTTAGACTTCAGACTTCTCTTATATTCCCCATGGCAACTATCAAACTACTAGATATATAGCATAACAGGCACTTAATAAATACCTGTTGACTTGTAAAAAGTTGTAGATCTAGAAGAGATCAGAATTTATCAAGTCGAAGCATTTTATTTATATTTGAAGAACTTTGAGTACAAAATGATGGTGAGAAATGAAATGAGTTTAGGTGGAATCAGACCAAAGATCACAATAAATACAATAGACCTAAACACAGCTTAAAAAAACCCCAAAGCCCACTGGAAAGGAGCAGTGGATAAAATAAATCTATTTTGTTACTCTGAGGTGAATAAAATTGAACACTCATACTCTGACAATGACAAGAAACAAAGGAAATATTTTCTTCTTGTATTTTTTCTTTTGGTGTTTACTTACACTTATTAAGCACCTAGTAAGCCTGCAATTCAAATCCACCAGCTGCTCAGTGGGAGAAGGAGGGGCACTCTCTTCCCCTGTGATTTACTGCCTCTGAAAAACCCACTGGAAGGTCAGATATGGGTTGGCTCTGCACACAAGAAGAAGTACCTAATATACCTTTAATTAATTCTAAGGAGAAATTTGGAAAGAAATCTGGGGAACAGCCACCGGGTCAACTGACTAGGAGAAATAGATATTTCTTGCCATTCCAAAGAAAGGTGACCGACAGAGTGCAGAAATTACTGAACACTATCATTAATATCACAAGCAAGCAAGATTCTGCTGAAACGTAACCAAAAATAACTGGAGCAACATGTCAACAGAGAGAAGTGCCAGATGTGAAGGCTGGGTTTACAAAGGCCGTGCAGTAGGGATTTTTATCTAATGTTAGCTGGATCTTGGCAGAAAGCAGAGAGTACCAGAGGAATGTGTCCATCCGTGTTTCATTGACTATGTAATGGCTTTTGACTGTGTGGATCACAACAAACTGTGGCTGACTCTCAAAAGAATCAGAATCCTGGAACATTTGATTGTGTTTATGTGGAACCTATATTTGAACCAAGAGGCAGTCGTCAGAACAGAGCAAGGAGACACTACATGGTTCAAAATCCGGAAAGGTGTCCCCCAGGGATGTATTTCATCTCCATACCTTTTCAATCTGTACACAGAACAGATCATTCAAGATGCTGGGCTGTATGAGGAGGAATGTGGCATCAGCATTGGTGAAAGATTAATCAACAACCTGCATTATGCAGATCACACAACCCTGCTTGCTCAAAATGAGGAGGACCTGAAGCGCTTGCTGCAGACGGTCAAGGACTGTAGCCTTCAATATGGATTGAAGCTCAACATCAAAAAAACAAAGATTCTCACCACTGGGCCAATTGGCAGCATCATTATGGATGGTGAAGAGATTGAGATTGTTAATAGTTTAATTTGCTGGGCTCCACAGTCAATACTCTTGGTACCAGCAGCCAGGAAATCAAGAGATAGGGACCTCTCCAAAGTACTAAAGAGCAACAACTTCAGGCTGGAGACTAAGGTGCACCTGATATAGGCCATAGTCTTTCCAATTGTGTGCTATGCATCAGAGAGTTGGACAGTGACTAGGGATGATAGAATGAGAATTGATGTCTTTGAGCTGTGGTGCTAGCGAACAGTATTGAATATACCATGGACTGCTAGGAAAACAAACAGGTTTGTCCTGGAGAGGGTGAAACCAGGCTGTTCCTTGGAGGCAAGGATTCTGAGGCTTTGTCTGACATACAGTTGGGCATGTTGTAAAGAAGGACCAGTCCTTGGAGAGGGATGTCATGCTTGGGAGGATGTGCAAGAAAGGAAGACCTTCAATGAGATGGATCGATTCAATGACTGGGGTAATGGGAGTAGCTGTCTCAGAGACAGTGAGGCTGGCACAGGATAGAGCACTGTTTAGGGCTCTTGTACATGAGTTTCAAGCGACTCAATGGCACATAACAACAACAACAACAAGAAGGAGAAATTTGTTACAAACTAAAAGGAATGTTTTATTATATGTTAGGAAGATTTTCAATCTTTGATGATAAAGTAAAATAAATACTGTCAGTTACAATATATAGTATTTAACTAATAATATTTGCTTTTAAAATGATGTTCTTAATTGGATCTTTATTTCTTACTGGTCAATAACTAGAGCCACTTTTACTTGAATCAGCCTCCCACCCTCTTTTCTTTCATGATTTTACACTTGCTTGTTTTCACTCTGGAAACATCTATTGGGCACCAATGATAAGCAAGGTTCTATTAAATTCTAGAAGTTTAAAAAATCAAGACTCAGTTCTCGCACTTGAGGAGTTCTTAGTCTGGTGAGAGAGACAAACACATAAAGAAGGCACAAGGTGTTATTTTAGTAAAGTACAGAGACAAAAGCTCAGTGCTATGAAAGTCATAAAAGTCTTGGTGCTTACATTTTATCTCACTCATGCTACATACACAGGTAACTAATTAACAAGACTTGATTGTTTTTTCAATTGCAGGCTCTTAATATCTATAAGCAGATAAAAGCATTCAAAAGGTACAAATCGAGGAACTAAGGCAGCTGCTGAATTAAAACTGTGGAAAGATTCTCTCAATTTCCCTAACATGGTTTTTCTTGAGAAAGAAGAGCATCAGGGTAGGAATATATAAGAAAATACCCATGGCTGATACTGTTGTTGGGTGCCACGAAGTCAATTCCAGCTCATAGGCACGAGTTATTCTATATGAAAATACTTGATGATAAAAAAGACTATATTCGTGTTCAATGTGTCAAAATTACTGTATAAAAATATACAGTAACAAAAAACAATGATAAAAATTATTCAAGGAAGGCAAAGTTTATTCTTTAATGAAATGCTAAAAACTTGGTGACATATATAAAAGAGTGAATGATGCTGTATTATGCACAGTATGTACTTAACAGCAACACACTTTCTTTTACAGTTGGACAAAGTTGTGGAAAAACACAAGGAATCTCACAGAAGAGTCCTGGAGCAACTTTTAATGGTAGAAAAATCCCACAGGCAAACCCTGTTGGAGTTGGAGGAAGAAAGGAGAAAGCACAGCGAGTACATAAAGAAGAGTGATGAGTTCATAGGCTTACTAGAGCAAGAATGTGAAAGGTAAGGCTGCTGTGGATGAGACAATGACCCGTTCAGTAAACGCTTACCAGCTCCTGGCTTTGGGCTGGGCATGGTACCAGGTATCAGGGATAAAAGGATGAACATGACACAGCTTCTGTTATTACAGTCCAGGTGAGGAAAGTGATATGTTGAACAGCAATGTGAATACAATGCAAGAAATCAAAATAGAAATCTCAGGCACCTAACTGCAAGGGAGCCCTTCTACCAAAAGTGCACAGAGAAGATGACAGGGTCTAGCTCTCAAGCAGGAGAGTGGATTTTGGGAAAAGGAAAGAAAGGAAGAAAAGCGAAGTGACAGTCAATGCAGGTATAGAAACAAGGGGAAAGGTAAGAAAATAATTTGGGTACTGAGAAAGCTCAAGGATTTCCACATGGTTACAATACAAACTGTTATAGGATGAAGAGAAGAAAAGGTTAGCCATGAGCAGTTGAACTTTATATTGCAAGGCAAATGAAAAATTTCAAGAAAGAGAATAAGATGATCAAGCACACTTTCTTTTAAAAAAATGCTAAGACAGCATGGAAGAAAGTCTGGAGGAGCTTTAGAATGTGACTAGAAAGACTATGTAGGAGACAAATATCCAACTAAGGTGAGGCTGTGTGTTCCTCGACTATAGGTCAGAAAGAACTATCTGTGATGTATTTGTTATTGATGTTGTTAGCTACCATTGAGTTGGTCCCTGCCTCAGGGCTGTCACATGCACAGTGAGATCAAACCATAGTGTTTGTGAACCACGGGGTTCTTATAAGCAGAGTTTTCAAAAACATAGGTCATCAGACCTTTTATCTTAAATCTATCTTACCAGAAAAATAAATTTGTGGCTGAGATACAGAGGAGAAAGATAAGGAAAACAAAGTTATTGAGAAGTGCTCTCCACCAAGAAACAGAATCAAGGAATGGGCAAAGAGGCTTTTGTAGTTAAGAGTGCAGAAGTAAATACAGTTAAGGTGGGATTGGGAGCGCGGGGGCAAAGATGAGCCCTGTTTTAGATCTTAGACACTGAATATGAACTATTTGCTGTGCCTTTTACAAAGCAGAGTGTGGGAGAATGATATGCATAAAAGCAACCCACAAATGCAAACGTAGGCCTGGGCAAGGATGAGCTGATGGTGTGGGCCGGAACACCTCTGCAGCTGAAGAGACGGGTGTGACGAAGCTAGGAGAAAAGAAGGCTAGTAAGAAAGGTGGAGGGCTGGCAAAACCAGACGAGAGAGGAAGCCAAGGAACCAAATAAGACAGACTCTCAAGTAAGAGTAAGCAGTCAAATGGCAGCAAATAATCCAACACACACACAAAAATAAAAACTGTTCCAGCTTTTATCAATTGAAAAACAATGGAAACTTTCATAAGCCATTTAAATAACAGAGCAAGTGCAAAAAACTGCAAAGCTTTAAAGAATAATTAAGAAATGAAGACTCAGAGTTTAAAATGTCAATTATTCTTTTTAAAACTTTTTTTTTCTTCAGCTACAAAAAAAAAGGAAAGATTGGCTGGTAACCATTTTATAATTGAGTAAGTCATTCTGTTACACTTTGACGCTCCATTCAGAGAATGAGTATTCTTATCAAATTGCAAGAACAATTAATTCTTTACATTAATGTTGTAAGATAGAAAATAACCAACCATGTTATGTAAAATTTTTCCTAGGCATTCATTTCATGTTTTATTTTCGTGTGCACTTCTCTTATAAATTACTGAGCTAAAGCTGCTAGCTTCTGAAATTAACAGAAAAAAAAGTGAGTCCTTTCTAATAAAAATAGTCTTGCTTTATTATACTAATTCTAATTCATATTTCAAGTTGAAAACTGAAATTGCACCAATATCTAGGTTGACAGCAAGCTTTTTTCTTAATCAGAACACTTGATAGTAGACATTTGTCTGAGTTCCACAGAATCTGTGTCCTGACAGTCAGCCTATTTTTTTCATATTAATTAAGAAGTTTTAGACTACATGGAGGAGAGCCTTGCTAACCTACCTCTTGGGAGCTCTGAAATATCTACACGGACAGACTTGAGAAATGTAACTGTCTAGCACCAATGATAGAAGTCAGTTCTTATAAACAAAGATTTGTTATTCTATGTGACAGTGTTATATTAAATATCATTTCAAATCCCTGTGGTTTGTCACTTGAGGCTTCATCTGGCCTCCACACTTCTTTGACACAACTTATGGGACACAGTCTTTTCCATTTAACTCGTATTATTATGAATGTTTACTGACCGCAGTCAAGAGTGTTGTCACAGGCAACAAAGAGGTATGAACTGTCTTTGATGGGGCCTTACCACACTAAGGGAGCAAGCAAGATGATACAGATTTAGGGTGGGAGTGTGAAGGACTGTTTGGAGACAGTTCTAATAGTCCTTGTGTCTATATTATCTTTTGAAGAAAGTTGGGGAGGGCCAATATTTTGAGGATGAGTTATGCCTTCTTGGTCCCATGTTCCATTTGTCATTCCCTGATCGCTAGTCCTGTAGATGATGGGATTCATGACCTCTCACAGCCTCATGACCCAGTAGCCCATTACATGACTGAGGAGAAGCCAGATGCCTCATATCTAACCCCAGATTTAAGACTTACCGACCTCTACAATTTTGTAAGCTATTTCCTTGAAATACATTTTGTCTTTCTCCTTCTCCCCCCCTTTCTCCCTCTCTCTCTCCCCCCACACACACTCATTCACTCTCTCTCTCTCCATTGCTTTTTCTCCAATACTGAACTCAGTCTAAGACAATTATGTTTTGCTGTTACTGAGGATATGAGAATATTTACTAAGGAATAATTTCTGGATGGAACTCTTTGGGTGTGAGAAAGTTAAACCTATTCTGTACTCACATAATACCTACATAATTCTCCCTCTGCTTTGCCTGAACACCCCTCAATGTTCATATGTCTGTTGGCAGCATTTGCTCTTATTACTCATCTGCTTTCATAGGGAGAAAAAGGGTCTCACTTAGATTTCTCCCTGCTTTGAGGTGTGTTCATTACATTATTAACAGGCACAACCCTTAAGCATAGGAAGTGCAGGAAATCTTAATGATTTCAGGTAACCACACAAAGGGGTAGGTGTTCACACACACAAGAGAATGTACCAATCACATGTCTGTTCTCAGTCTACACACGTAAATATATCTCATAACTGACTACTTCATATTTTAGAGAACTTTCTGGCGAACACTCTGGTGATATAGTCCGTAGTGAGTTGCTCTCCTCATCCAAATGTGATACATCTCCAGCAATTCAAATCCAGCACCAGTGGCTCCAGAGGAGAAAAAAGGGCAACCTGCTACCTGATTTACAACCTCCTACAGTTCCAACTACAAGGAAAGGAGAGCTCCCACAAGCAAACAGCCACTCCTCACAGCAACAAGGCTCATTTGTCCTAAGGAGTCAAAGAATAATGTTTACTTCTTCAAACAAAGCAGTGTAAGCCACTCTCAAATCAATGACCTTGTATACAGGGAAATAAAGATAGGACCTCCCTAAGAGGTTGAGTGCAAATAACTATATAAAGGACTAATTGATCTAATCTCTAAAAAACACTATTAAAGTTTAACATTTGTGTTTCAAGTACAGAACAATATCGACTTTGAAGGAAAATAAATATATGATTGAGGTAGTTAATGAGACTTAGGAGGATGTAATAATGAATTTCAAATTAAGACTCAATTCCTATGTTTTCGTTGGAGAATTTGTTTTATATGGAAAACCTTAAAGGAGTCTGATGTCACACTTTGAGTCTAAGCCAAAATGTTTGCCAAGTGATGTCGCTATCGTAATCAGTAAGCAATCGGCTTCTCTACTGAGGGAGGGTGGCGGAGGCAAGGAAACCCCATCCCCAAGCACGTTAATAAACAGTTTCCTTTGCGGCAATCTGTACAGCTTGGTCTATCCACAGGCAATATGATTATGTCCACATTTCACGACAACTGTTCATTGATCAGTTCCAAAGTGTGGCTGTGTGTGTCACCCATGACCTGGAATATGTATTTGGCTGAATTACAAGTGGAGTCTCTATGTGAAAGGTTTTACACAAAAGCAAAAAGCAGTTGTTTTTGGCCTTCCTGCATGGTGGTACAGGAAAGCCAAAACAAAAATCACTTTTAGTCAGTACAGTCTTGAAGAATTTTTCCTTAAGAGATAAACCAGTTTTGTCTGTACTTTCAGAAAAACTTGAGTAATTTTTATTCAATGGGAGAAAAGGCTGTGAAGCAAGCTGTTTTGTGGATATTTTTTTAAAAATCACACATTCTTTTTAGACTACGGGAACCAATCATGCATATTAATCATATATATTACTACATGTCTGTCCTTGAAAGAAGCACCAAGGTGGGAAACACGTTGTTATGGCAACTCTATACCACTGCTGCTTCCACCATGAAGTTGGTTTTTGTTTTGTTTAAGCCTTACATTATCTAAGCCAAGTAGGTTAGCCATGATGTTTCGATTTTATGGGGCAAGAACTTGAATGATGATAGCTTCTCAAAAGACATATAGAGAGGAAAAAGTCATGGGTAGCATTAATTTTGTGTTGCTGTCCTATGTCTGATTAGCCAGAACAGTGGTATGGGGGCTTGGGGACCCATGAAAGAAAGGTATTAGGGATCCTGCTTCAAGAGCTGTTGCCTTGACCACACCTTGAGCAAGTCTTTTGCTGTTCAGATGTTCAAAGCAAAGCCCCGTTACCTCTCCCTTTGACACTTCATAAAGCAAGATCCCCATCAACAATTGTTCCCTAGGATGAGAGGCCAGTTTTTTTTAGATTGTATCAGGAAAGGCAACAGAAACGTGATTTCATATACTTCTCTTCTTTTATGCAGAGCCATATGTGACACTGTGTTGTCACATATATAGACAATTTTAAAACCTTCTTTCAAAAACACGAAATCTTCTCTCTAGAGGATTTTGATACAGCCATGACATATAAATGAATGAGTTTTAGTGTAGCTAATCTAATAAATAACATAAGCCAGTTCTATGC